TCATGGAATTTATCTTGGGCATCTGGCAAATCCATTTTATTAACTGCCAAAAGTGCAGGTTTTGTTTGAAGTTCTTCATCATACAACTCCAGCTCCTTGAAAGCAAAAAATGTCAAAACAATTTTATAAAATTGTCTGCTTAAATTACCTATTTGTTAATATCTTTATTTCATAAGCCCAAAGAAACTATACCCTAATTCACATCTCTGAAATGCAGTAAGTCCCAAGAATCATAAAACTGATTAACAAATGAAATTTTTTTAAAATGCTTACTGTTTAGATCATTAGATCAAGTGTGGCATGAATACGACACGACTTCCTACAGAAATCTGCGCTTTGTGCCTACAATATACAGCCACCTGGACTTGTATAATGCACAGATAAAATTTATAGGGATATTTTGGGGAGGGGAGCAGGTAATTAAATTGCCTCCAGGTGAGAAACATTGTTCAATAGAATGTAATGTTACTCTAAACTCACTATATTCACTATAGATTCATTATTGACGGTTCACTTTATTGTTTTTCTTAATATATCTGATGTATCAGCTTGATCTCAAACTTTTTTTTTTTCTTAAGAAAGGTATAAAAACAAATACTATTGCTATGGATTGAAATGTGTGCCTGCAGAATGTGTGTTGTAAATCCTAACTTCTATGCTGTAGTTATAATCTAACTTTGTCACTGCTATGTTGGTGAGGCTAAGTACAGGATTTGCCTTACATTCATCTCTTTTGAGATATAAAGGAAATGAAACAAGCAAGGTAGCAAGCAGAGACGGGCAGAGAGATGTCATGCCACACAGCTGAGAAGCAGCTCAGAAGAGACAAAGACTTTTCTCCAGAGTTAACAGAGAAACACCTTCGCCTAGAGCCAGCACCAGGAAGGACTGCTGGCTTCCTAAATTGTGAGAAAATAAATTCCTGTGGTTATACACATATGGATGTATGTAAAAATAAATACCTCTTTTTCATCTTTGTGGTAAAGCAACACTAGATAACTAACACAAATGCTTAAGAATATAAATCCTATAATCCAACTAGTTTTCTGAATTTGAGCCATTAACTTTACTAAGCACGACACTGGGGATGGAGGCTAGTGGGCACCTACCACAAGAGTTTTGTGACAGTTAAGAGATATTTCATTTAAGGGCTTTGTATACAGAAATCACTTAGTAAATGTTGTTATGGGCCGTCGAGCTGACGACTCATAGTGACACTACGAACCTTGTCCTAATCTTAGCCAACTTTACCATCGCCAACATAACTGACACTACTACCGCAGTCACTGTGTCAGTCCTTTTGGGTCTTCCTCTCTTATGCTTACCGTCTACCCTTCAAAGACACCTCAAAGTTATTCTTGAGATTATTTTTAAATTCAGGTGGGCTAGATTCAAGGTCATATTTTAGCTCTTATGGGCTTGTTTCCATTTTCCTCAGCTTCCATTTGAACGTGCACATGAGTAATTGATGGTCTATTTCACAGGCAACACCTGACCTGGTTTTGACCATTGATCCCAAGCTTCTCCAATAATTCTTTACACAGATGTGGTCAATCTGACCCTGGGTAGTCAATCAGGTGATGTCTAGGTCTATAGTCATTGTGTTTTTTAAAGAAGATGTTTGCAATGAATAAATCATGGCTTGTACAAAATTAGATTATTTGCTCTACAGCCTCATTTCTGTCACTAAGGCCTTAATTCCTGACTACTGGTCTCTCTTCTTTATTTCCAATTTTGATATTCCAGTCCCTCAAAATACTTTAATAAATATATAATTAATCTTGATTGCATTTCTGGTCAATTTTCAGATGCAGAGCTATTGTACATAGGGACGCTATGAGTTGCACGTAACAGCAGCAACATTTCCTTTATCTCTAAATACTGCTATATTAGAAGGCACATAACAACACCAACATTTTATATACCTCTATACAGAGATGTATTAGACCAGAAACAGAAACAGAAAACCTACTTTTGTAAGCAGTATTATGGTTTCCAAGGCAGTTCTGTGTTGAGTTTTGGAAGAAAGTTGAAATCCAAAAATATCAACCTAAGAAAAACAGAGAGGAAGATCTTTCAGCATAAGAACTATACATTTCTGTGTTTCAAATTTAAAAGTTGAGTTTTCAAGACAATATGATTATTCTGATGACAGTTAGTAAAGAATAAACAATCTGTATTCATACAGATAACCGTAAGTTTAGTACCATCAAGGAAGTAGGAAATAGTATGAACTATATTAAAAATGTAACAAATCATGGCAAACACTGTCAAGGTTGTATTTGATGAGGTAAATTTCAACAATGACATGCCATCCCATATTATAATAAAAATTACTTTATGTGACCCCATCTAAACTGAGTTATCAGCATAATACATGCTACCATCTTTAATGTTTATCACTATAAAATTTTCTAAGAAAAAAATTGACTTTACATTCATTGGTACATTAAAAGAGAATGTATACAACTTACAACAAAAAGTAGCTGTTTAGTTCTTTCTATATGCTTCAGGAATTTGTGGCCCATTCCTTTGTTCATATGTGCTCCTTCTATTAAGCCCGGAAGATCAGCCACTGATATCTAATACAAAGTCACATGTTTTAATATAAAGGAAAAATCTAAAAAATCGCAAGTACAAATACATCCAAGTGTTTGGTGTTATTTCAAACATAAACAATTCCTATCTATGACTGCCACTTTATATCTGAAAAAAGCCCAGGTTCATTTAGGGTAAAATAGATGTATTAAGAAACAAAACTCGTTGTTTCAGGAATTAAGAGTTCTATTTTTACTTAATGATCTAACAATCTATGGACTGTAGAGATTAACTGAACATTAATCAATCAAGAAATTATTTTTTAGACTAATTTATTTACAAAATTCTAATATTTTTCTAATGTTTTCTGGAACAGATTCTTCCAATTTCCCTCACCAACCCCCTACCCATCAAATTGTACAACTCCATGAAATTCTTCAAAGTTTATAAAGATTTCATATTAATAGCCATTTACAAAGTAAAACTCTGCAGCTGTATATTTTAAGTTCTATTTATAATTGTTTGCTTAGCACTTCTTGTTGCTATCGAGTCGCTTGAGACTCAGAGCGACCCTATGTACAACAGCCCTAATCGCCGTTCTATTCTGTGCCAACCTCACCATCTCAAACACACTCATTCCCACCACTCTAATCACAGAATCGATCCATCCTGAGGGTCTTCCTCTCCTGCGCCGTCCCTCCACTCTCTCAAACATGATGTCCCTCTCCAAGGATCAGTCCTTTCTTGCAACATGCCCAAAGTATGTCGGACAAAGCTTCAGAATCCTTGACTCCAAGGAGCATTCCGGCTTCACCTTCTCCAGGACAAACCTGTTTGTTTTCCTAGCACTCCATGATATATTCAACACTCTTTTCCAACACCACAGCTCAAAAGCATCAATTCTCTTTCTATAATCCCTAATCACTGTCCAACTCTCTGATGCATAGCACATAATTGCAAAGACTACAGTCTGGATCAGGTGCACCTTAGTCTCCAGCCTGATGTCATTGCTCTCCAGTACTCTTGAGTGGTCCCTCACAGCTGACTTTCCCAATGCAATTCGTCTCTTGATTTCCTGGCTGCTGTTACCAAGAGTGTTGACTGTGGAACCAAGTAAACGAAAACTCTTAACTATCTCAATCTCTTCACCATCCATACTGATGCTGCCAATTGACCCAGTGGTGAGAATCTTTTCTTGATGTTAAGCTTCAATCCATATTGAAGGCTACAGTCCTTGACTTTCTGCAGCAAACACTTCAAGGTCTTCCTCAGTTTCAGCAAGCAGGTTGTTGATGATTCTTTCATCAATCCTGATGCCACATTCCTCCTCGTACAGCCCAGTGTCTCGGATGATCTGTTCTGCATACAGATTGAAAAGGTATGGAGACAAAATACATCCCTGACAGACCCCATTCTTGATTTTGAACGATATAGTGTCTCCTTGCTCTGTTCTGATGACTGCCTCTTGGTCCAAGTATAGGTTTCACATTAGCACAATCAAATGTTCTGTGATTCCCATTCTTCTCAGAGTCAGCCATAGCTTGTTGTAATCCACACAGTCAAAAGTCTTTGCATAGTCAATTCTTATTTCATGATTGCCATTCTTATAAAGTAAAATAATAGAATATTATCCTACCTACTCTTTTCTGAAATAAACGATTTCCTATCATCCTACCCTTGTGCTTTTCAAATCATCACAATCATCTAAGAATCTTTAAAAGTACAGATGCTTACATCTAGAGCCAAGTAATTTAGTTCCAGCTGGAGCCCAGCCATTATTTATAATTGTTGAGATTAAAAAAAAAATTCCATTATGATTAAAAAAAGATATAAATCTATTATTTCTTTTAAATTATTCTGTATCATTTAAAATGAGTCTTTTCTATAACAATTACTGATATTTAAGAAAGTTGTCAGGCTATTCTGATGTGCAGTAAGGATGAGAACTATGGCTCCCCCCAGATCATGAGTCTTTACAAACTCATGGTTACAACATAATGAATTGTGTATTAACAGAAGTCTCATGTCTTGAAATCTTTTCCAGGGTCTCTACTAACCTTTTCAAAAATGAAATATACATGTTGTTCTCTTTTGTTCTAATATTTTCCTTTATATTATCCTGTATTTCACCATGTTTGAGCTCAGATGACCTCATGTCTGCTTCCCAAAATTTTTTCTGTTATCCTTACTCATTGTCTAATTCTCAGATGCATAGTAGGTTATTAGAACAAGTGTGGCTTGAATTAGGTTAACCTTAGTCTTTAAACTGATGCCATTGCTTTTCAGGGCTTTGCAAAATTCCCTGACAGCAGACTTTCCCAAGAAATTAACTTACTTTGTAATATTCTATAATATGAGGTTTTCTCATTTTCTATTATTATAATAAATTAAGTCTATATTCCTTATTATTTCATGAGATTATATTCCCATTAGAAAATGAACTTACTCTTTTTTTCTTCCACTTAGTGTTCTCTATTGCTGAGAGTTGCTGTTATCAAGTGCCATCAAGTACAACTCATAGTGATCCTATGAATAAAAGATCTGAGCCCTGTCCTATCCTGTGCCATCTCACAAGCTCTAACACTTGAGCCCAATGTTGTTGAGAGTATGTATAATAAACAAAACACATACTAATTTAAGTTTCTACAGCTCCGTGACATTATGTTGTTGCTCATCCTCTTTCTGAGCTGTTTCTCCTTTAACATAAACTCACTGCTTCTAAATTTCCTATCTTTTGAGTTGCTATTGTCAGACTGATCCCACAGATTAAATTTAAGGGAATAATGCTGAAGGCAGACATACACTACTATGTCACATTGAAATTATTTCAGTGGATAATTTTGGCTTAAGCTTTAGATTATCTTTGGGCAACAGTTTGCATGTTTATCCAGTCTGGATTCACAAGAATTTGAGTAAGTTTTTCTACATTTTCTCCCTTTTAATTATGATTCTCTTTAATCAAAATGTTCAGTAATGAAAGCCAGGCACCATTTACCTCTTCTGGTCTGATGGTAAGGGAGCATACTTATTCTTTAATGCTGTCAGATTACTCTCAAAGAGTATACTAATTACATTTTCAGAACCAACTCACAGCTGACCCTCTGCATGGAAGGAGATTGTCCATCATTCTTCTGAGGAGTTGCTCTAGATTTGATCCACCTGACAGCCACTACCTTTGGGTTTTCAGTACAACTCTCTACAGAATACACAGCTGGAGCTCCCTGGTATTAGGGATAGGAATGTTTTTTTTTAAAAAAAAAAGATCAGTTAATGGCTAGCCACTGTAATTAGGAACCCTTGAGGTGGAGTGGGTATAGCATTCAGTTACTAACAAAAATGTTGGTGGTTTGAACCCACCAGCCATTCTGCAGCAGGATTGACAGCCTTGGAAACCCTGTGGGCAGTTCTCAATATTACAAAGTTAAAAGAAGTTGGAATCAACTTGATGGCACAGGGTAGGTTGTGGCTGTTAGGTGCTGTCAAGTTGACTATGATTTAGAGCAAACCTATGAACAACAGCTTGGAACCTTTCCCTATCCAGCGCCATCTGTGTGACCCCCACATGCTGAAGACCATGATGACAGTTAGTTCTGTCAATCCACCTCACTGAAGGTCTTCCTCTCTTTCACTGCCCCTGTATCTTTCCCAGCATGTTGTCTTTTTTCAGAGAGTAGTCTCTGCTGATAACATGTCCAAAGTATGAGACACATGAAGTTAAATTCTTATACAATATCTTACTGCAGTACACTCAGAAGAATTTACTTCAGAATTCTTTATCATAATGCAAAATTATGCTACTCCTAGCTCCACACAAACTAGAGAAAGAGGCAAGTTTTATAAAGCCCATGTCACTAAAGGCAAGGGTGGAAAGCCGGTGATTCAAACCCACCCAGAGTCATGGAGGGACCTCGATTGGCAAGAAGCTGCACTGCAATCCCAAAGTCAAGTGGTTTGGTGGGCAGTCTCAACCCATGCAATTTACTGCATTGGGAAATCTGCTGGAGGGTCTGCTATGGGTTGGTTATGACAATGGTAAAACAACAGAAGCACTTTACCTCAGCAATCTGCTTCTGAAAGGTCACAGTCTTGAAAATCCTATATAGAAGTTCTATTCTGCACACAAGGGGTCACCATTCATTCAAATCAATTTGATGAAAACTAAGAACACAGAGAAAGTACTTCCACTTCTAATGAAGAGCTTTACTTTAAAATACTCACCTGTTTAAAATCACTGTACATTACCTTTCCAAGTTCAGGCTTCAATGTTGTAACTAAAACAACAATAATAAATTAAGGCTAGAATAAAGCTAGCACTTTGAAAATTCTATGTACAGAATAAATAATGCTTCTTCTTTTGTGAGCACTTTAATTCAGATGTTCACAGTAGGAATTTTAGGGATTACTTTAACAGTTATCACTCATATAATTCTTACAAAAATTCCATAAATCTGCTACAATGGAAATACCATTATTCTTGCTCTTTATATTTGGGAAAAGGGAAAATAAAGATTTTAATAACCTGAACAGCATAAATCTCATCTAGTTAGTGAACATCCAAGATCCTTTACTGGATCCTAAGGAGTAGAGTAAGGGTATGTGAGGGAAAATGAGTTAGAAATCAATTTGTAAAACAATTCTAAAAGTGGAGAAGATTCAGAATCTAAATTTATGTTTGTGGGTGAGATTCGTTTTGTCATTCAGCCATTTCAAGCCACACCAATATTTAAAGTCTTTTCCTCTTAACTTTTTTTGTCTTTTTTCCCCTTCTCAAGTTATCATTATATCAATATATCCTGACCATGAAAATAAAAAAAAAATCTACTCCACTTCCCTCTAATTTTATTTTTTATTTTCCAGGTTAATACCTTTCTACATCTTTTTGTTTCCTTTTTTTCATAGAGATCCTATCATGTTCATTCACTTTTCTTAGTCTAGGCTTGCACTATTATTTCATTTAATTATAACTGGTCTCCCCAGTTAATACTTATGTTTCATTCCAATGAATTTTTTTACATTATAGGCAGACAAATCTTTCTGAAAAAGTAGATCTAATCAATTCTCTCCTGCTTAACAGACCTCAACTCTTTTTAAGGCATAATGATGAAATAAAGCATCTATGCCTGTAACATTCTTTAATTAAATCTCCAGCCCTCTTCTTGACTCCTTTACTCATATTAAATACTTTTTTTCTCCCCTTTGTACATTTATCTTTTATTCTAGCTGTAAGACCTTTCACCTCCACTCTTTACTGCTAATTAACATAATATTTTAAGGGTACAAAGATTAATGTGAAATAAATTCTATCTACAAAGTTCTATCCCATAAGAGTTGTCACTTTATTTAGGCTCAAAAATTACTAGTCTTTCCCTGGTTACAAGTGAGATTGTTCCTATCTATGCTTTTAAAATATACATTAGTCAAAAGAGACGTATATCTTTCTTATTTAACTTTAATGCTAGAGTTTTTTCACTTATTTAAAAGCTGCATGTGAAGCAAGTGAAGTTGCCTATGACAAAAAATGTGTTGTGAGTAGGGATTGGTTCAAAGTGAGGGCAAATTTACAGAGAATTAAAGTCGGGCTTCAAAGACAATGGAGTCTTAATCAAAGATGGTGGCTGACCATGATGCTCTGAATGTGTGTGGCTTCTCCAGACTTGCCAATAATCAAATCTTACACATCAGGTTCCTGAAAGGGAATACGCTTCTTAAGGATCTCTTATTCCTAAATTTTCCCATTCCAGGTACTATTAAAAATCATCCTAATGGTAAAACTTAGGATCATTTTCCATGTTGTTTCACAAACCGTGACAGAACTAATTTGGAAGACTACATTAAAAGGAAAGTAGCCACTGTTAATAAATCAGGTGTTCATAACACAGGGATTGCCTCTGTTCTCCATATCTTAGTAAGGAATCTACAGCAGCCACCTATACTCTTTGACAGAACTTTCTTACATTCTTTAGTGATTTATGTGTATTTCCCTATTATTACCAGTCTGTAAATTCATCAAAAGCCAGAACATAATCTGTTTTGTTGACCAATCTTAAAACCCTGGAGTCAAATACGGTCAACAGAAATAAGAACTGATTAAATGAATTAGAATTCATTTATTCATTCTATTATTTATCACAATGCTTGACACAGGGTCAGAAAACCTCAATGCTATCTAGTAGGGTCTTGTTCATAGCTGACCCTCTAGCTGGTTTTCAGAGGCTGTAAATGACACAAGAGAACACTGCTCACTTTTCTCCTGAGGAATCACTGGTGGAGTCAAAGCCCCTGCCTTGGAGTCGTCAGTGCTACTCCTTACCCTAGGCCACCAGAACATCCTTGATACCAACCAAACAAATGGTAATAAAGCAAAGAAATAAATTAGATGTCACAAGCTAATAGCACAAAGAACTTTTTTAAGGGTACAAAAGATTAATGTAAAATAAATGGTCTTTTATCAGTAAAGAGTTTTCAATGACTATCCTTTAAGAACTGTCATTTTATTTAGGCTCAAAAAAATTACTAAAATTCCTAGTCTTTAAAAGTTTCTTTCCACCTAATAAAATACAATCAAATTACACTTACATGCATAATCTGCAATCACAGGTTTTGCGTGAGAAATCCGACTTAGTAATGATGATTTTCCAGCATTTGGGAATCTAAAATGAGAAATTATACATTGCAATAAATCATCAATATCATATGGAGCTGTGGTGGAATAGTCTGTAGAGAACTGTGCTGTTAACCCAAGGCCATGATCACTCTGGTGGTTTTGTTGGTTTTTTTTTGTTGTTGTTTTTAATTTTATTATTTTTGTGTGAGTGTACCGTCAAATCAGATCTGACTGGTGCAGGAGGAGATTGTCCCTCCTTCCCCGGCAGAGCATCTGGTGGATTCGAACCATGCGCCTCTGGGATTGTAGTTGCAGCTCCTTACCACTAGGCCACCAGAGCTCCCCTCACTCTGGTGGTTTTAATTCACTAGCTATCCCCAGGACAAAAGATGAGCAATCTCCCCTCATGTGATTTATAACCTCAGAAACCCCTAGATGGTCAGCTATGAGCTGGTTCCAACTCAAATAAGTGAGATTAGTAACATGTTATTGGCTGACTTGTGAATTTGTAACAATATAAGGAGACTCCTTGATGAATCCTAGGATTAAATATTACCTTGAAATATCTGACAAACAAATCTTTTAAAATGGTAAAGGCATACTCATGAAGGGAATTTAGTATGTTTCAATAATGAAGACATACTTTCTCACATCCATAAGATGAACTGACACAAAACTACAAAATCCCACTAAGATTCAAACATACCAAGGATTACTGAGAATGCTGCAGGGCCAGCCAATATCTCTTTCTGTTATACAAGGTGGCTATATATCACAGCCAGCTCAACAACAACAGCAAAACAATTGTTAGTCTAACTGTCAAGTCCAAAGGTTTCTTTCCTTTATTTACTTTCAATCAATCCCCTTCTGGATTGGTGCCAGTATTCCAACTCTACAGTTTTGTTACAAGAATGGAGGCTCGCAGAAAAAGCATTAGAAGGTGTGCCCGGTAAAAAGAAACAGATGTAAGCAAAGGAGAAGATAATAATCACAGCAAGATTCAATTTAGTGTTCAAATGTATATATTTGATGTCTGAGAATGTATCATTCTTTAATCACCTGATTAAAAGTTTCATCTGATGCCTCCATAATCCTATAAAGACTTCTAAAAATATCTCAACCATTTTTAAAAATCTTGTCTGTGTTTACTTCTACACACTTTTAAAAACATTGTTTGGATTTCTAATTCTTTCCTTAGTATCTGGTAGCACTGTTAAATATTCTTATCATAATGCATTTGAAATTTTTTAATTTTTCATTCAAACATTCCCCTGAGCTACTTCCAACTGCTATTATCTTCCTTTTACAAGAATGCTACTGTTGTCTGGTGCCATCAAGTCAAGTACCACTCAGAGATCCCATGAACAACAGACTGAAACCTTGCCCTTATGCTGCATCAACCTTACAATCTCTGCCATACAAATGAATAGAACTATGTTTGCCTAACGAAAAGAAGTGTATTTAGCAGTTGATTCTCAAAGTTAAGTTCATGATGTATGCAATGAATAAATTCTGCAAACTACAAATATTTATAACCCCAAGTTACCATTTTACACTTATTACATATTCATTTAATATCTGCCTGGAAGTAAAATACACATATGAATACTTACCCCACTAAGCCTATATCAGCTATAAGTTTTAGATCAAGATGAATTACTCGTTTTTGCCCTTTCAACGGTAAGAAATTTGTAAGTAGTTTGCCACCAAGACCTCCTTCAGCTACCAAAATTCTATCTTTTTCTTTATTGAGTTCTCCTTTAAAAGAGAAAGAAAAGAATTAAGATTACAAAAAAGGAAGCTTATTACCATTTTTTTCTTCCAGAAACATATATAAAGAAATTATAATATAGTCCGAAGTGCTGTTGACCAACAAGATTAAATTCCTATCAAAACTAAGCAAATACCCTCATATCATTAAGCTAATCTTAAACCTAGCAGTCAATTTTGGGGGAGAAACTCTTAAAAATTAGCAGTTGTGCCGTCGAGTCGTTTGCGACTCATAGTGACCCTATGTACAACAGCCTTAAACTCCGCTCTGTCCTGTGCCAGTCGCACTGTCTCTGACACTCCCATCCCGATTAACCCAGTCACTGAATCAATCCACCTCCTAGAGGCCCTTCCCCTACTGTGCTGTCCCTCCACCCTCTCAAGCATGATGTCCTTCTCCAAGGACCAGTCTCTCCTCACAACATGTCCAAAGTATGTTAGACGGAGCCTCAGAATCCTTGCCTCCAAGGAGCCACCCGGTTTAACCCTTTCCAGGACGAATCTGTTTGTTTTCCTAGCAGTCCACGGTACTTTCAATACTCTTCTCCAGCACCACAGCTCAAAGACATCAATTCTCCTTCTATCCTCCTTGGTCAATGTCCAACTTTCTGATGCATAACAAGTGATTGCAAAGACAATGACCTGTATCAGACGCACCTTAGTCTCCAGAGAGATACCACTGCTCTTCAGTACTTTGGAGAGGTCCTTAACAGCAGACTTTCCCATGGCAATGTGCCTTTTAATTTCCTGGCTACTGGAGCCAAGAGTGTTGACTGTGGAGCCAAGCAAACTAAAGCTGTGAACAATCTCAATCTCTTCACCATCCATCCTGATGCTGCCAATTGGTCCAGTGGTGAGAATCTTTGTCTTCTTGACACTGAGCCTCAATCCATATTGGAGGCTGCAGTCCTTGACCCTCTGCAGCAGGTGCTTCAGGTCCTCCTCATTAGATGTTAAAAATTCTTTTGAAACGCAAGAAAAGCTATTCCTCCCCAAACAATTTTAGACAATGTGAACAATCTTAGAAATTAGAGTTTACTCACCTATAATTTTACCATTTTCATCAGTTATTGAAATGCCCACAGGTGCAGGAATTTCACAGTCTTTCCCTCTGGAACCTTTTAGTGCATTTACTCTATAAAAAGAAATAGCCCTATGTTAAAAAGTTCATTTCAAGCAAACATAATGGTTTATATAAAGACTACCAATCAACTGCCATCTTTTGGCTTTAATACTTAGGGGACAGTGAATTTTTAGAAAGATTATTAAATGGTGAAACTTAAGAATCTAAAATTATCCTCAATTATTATTTACATTTCAGGTCACTGTACTCCATAAAAAGGAGGTCTAGTGGCACAGTCCTTAGAGAGCAGCACTGCTAACTCACAGGCTTTGTCTCTCAGGCAGTACAAATCCACTAGTGGCTCTGTGGGCGAAAGCAGCCCGTTTCTGCAATCTACAGCCTGAGAAACCAAAGGAGTCAAACATGACTCGATGGCTGTAAGAGAAGATTCCATGAAAATGGTATTAAACAATAATTTAAAAGCTACCAAGCTACATACCAAATCACTTTAATGCAAAATGAGCTAAAATATTTTCTACCTGAAATGAAGGGATCATGGCCATTATAAGTGACCGGGATAAAAATTTAGAAGTCCACTGAACAATAAATCTTTTCTAAAACCTATCCTCTAATGACAGTTAATTATGAGAGGCTCAACTTGTTACTTTTAAATTATGCATGAGAGAATAAACTGATACAAGCTTCTAGGAAGACAACTACAATAGTGTGCTTATTTTAAAAATTCCATTTGAATGTATTTATCTAAAAGACAATTACTGAGCAACCAAGTAAAAGAGTATATACACAAAGATGTATACTTTAGTCACCTTATGGTAGCTCTAACAGCAAAATGCAAAAAACCTAAGTAGCTGAATTAGAAGATAAATGTTATTTCCCATGTATCAGTCAACATAAACAATTTTCTGTATTGCGGAATAATGTTATGTAAAAAAGAGGCTGTCAAAAAAAAAAAAGTTTACAATCTATCCAGCTATCTATTTTGCACTCCAAATTCTTACACACTTAGACATGTTGTTGTTATATGCCATCAAGTTGCCTGCAACTCATAGTGACCCTGTGTACAATAGCCCTAAACCATGCTCTATCCTGTGCCAATCTCCCATTGTCTCCAACACACTTACCCCCCTCACCACAGTCACTGAATCAATCCATCTCATCAAGGGTCATCTTCTCTTGTGCTGTCCGTCCAACCTCCCAAGCATGATGTTCCTCCAAGGACTGGTCTCTCCTTGCAACATGTCCAAAGTATGTCAGATGAAGCTTCAGAAACTTTGCCTCCAAGAAGCAGCCTGGTCTTACCCCCTCTAGGATGAATTTGTTTGTTCTTCTAGCAGACCATGATATATTCAACACTGTTGTCCAGCCCCACAGCTCAAAGGCATCAATTCTCCTTCTATCAGCACTAGTCATTGTTCAGCTTTCTGATGCATAGCAAGTAATTGCAAAGATATGGCCTGTATCAGGTGTTGCTCTTCAATACTTTGGAGAGGGCTCTGACAGCAGACTTTCCCAATGCAATTCTTTTTATTTCCTGGCTGTTTACCAAGAGTGTTGATTCTGGAGCCAAGATGACTAAAGCTGTTAACAATCTCAATCTCTTCACCATCTATCATGATGATGACAATCAGCGAAGTGGTGAGAATCTTTGTTTTCTTGATGTTGAGCTTCAATACATATTTAAGGCTGCAGTACTTGACCTTCGCAAGCACTTAAGGTCCTCCTCAGTCTCAGCAAGCACGGGTGTGTCATCTGGATAATGCAGATTATTGATGAGTCTACCTCCAAACCTGATGTCACACTTCTCATAGAGCCCAGCCTCCCGGATAATCTATTCCACATATAGATTAAAAAGGTATGGAGACAGGACACATCGCTGGCGTATACCCTTCCCAATTTTGAACCATGCAGTGTTTTCTTGTTCTGTTCTGATGACTGCCTCCTGGTCCAAGTATAGGTTTCGCATAAGCACAGTCAAGTGTTCTGGGATTCCCGTTCTTAAGAGTCACCCATAGTTTGTTGTGATCCACACCGTCAAATGCCTTTGCACAGTCAATGAAACACAGGCATGCCTCCTGGTACTCTGCATTCAGCCAAGATCCATCTGACATTAGCTATACTATCCCTAGTACCGCGCCTCTTCTAAACCCAGACTGTACATCTGGCAGTTCTCTGTTGATGTGCTGTTCCAGTCATTTTTTGATGATCTTCAGCAGAATCTTGCTTGTGTGTGATGTCAATTATATTGTTTGATAATTCTGTACTCTGTCTGGTCACCTTTCCTTGGAATGGGAACAAATATAGATCTCTCTCAGTCAGCCAGATTTTTTTGTACAACTTGGTGAGCACATGCAGGACAGGTTCTGTTTTTTAAAATATGTCAGCTGGCATACCATTAATTCCTGGGGCCTTGTTTTTTGCCAATTTTTTCAGAGCAGCTTGAATTTCTTCCTTCATCCCACAGGCTCTTGCTCATATGCTGTTTAATTAAATTCTTCCGTGCCCATCAATTCCTTTTGGTTCAAAGGCTCTGTATACTCTTTTCATCTTCTTTTAATGCTTCCTGGATCACTTAATATTCTGCTCAAAGCATCCTTAAGTATTGAAACTCGAGACGTGCATTTGTTCGTCAGTTCCTTCAGCTTAAGAAATGCTGAGTTTGGCCCCTTTAATTTTCTGACTCCAGCTCTTTGCACATTTCATTGTAAAACTTTGTCTTTCTACGCTGCCCTTTGGAATCTTCTGTTCAACTCCTTCATAGCTTGATTTCTTCCCTTTGCATTGGATTCTAGGCGCTTTAGTGCAATATTCAGTGTCTTCTGAAATCCATCTTGGCCTTTTCTTCCTCCTCTACCTTGTAATGACTTTCTGCATTCTTCCTGGATGATATTCTTGATATCCTCCCACAGCTAATCTGGTCTTTTACTCATTAGTGTTCAAGGCCTCAAACCTGTTCCTGAGATGGTTTTGACATTCAGGTGGGATAGACTCAAGATCAACTTTTGGTTCCTGTGGATTTAATTTTTCTCAGCTTCAGCTTAAACCTGCATATGAGTAGTTGGTGGTCTGTTCCATAATCAGCACCTGGCCTAGTTTTCACAGTTTATATTAAGCTTCTCCAGCAATTCTTTCCACAGATATAATCGATCTGATTCTTATGCATACCATCAGGTGAAATCCATGTGTATAGTCTGTGTTTACGGTTCTTTTTTTTCTGTCCACCTGCCTTGGCCGCTCTGCCTCTCCCCCCGCCCCACCCCCTTGCGTTGACACCTCCTCTGGGGTCCTCTAGCATGCGCGCACTCCTGCCCTTGTTTTTCGTATTTATGTTTCTTATAAAATGTATTTGGAACAAGTCGTTGATTGTTCAAAATTCTCTCATTCTGTCTCCAGCTTCATTTCTGTCCCCCCAATCCATGTTTTCCAACTACTAATACTTCTTCTCTGTTCCCAACTTTTCATTCCAGTCACCCATTATTATTAATGCATCCTGCCTGCATGTTCGACCAATCTCTGATTGGGAAAGTTGGTAGAAAATCTTCTATTTCCTCCTCTTTGGCTCTGGTTGTTGGTGCATATATTTGAATGATGGTAGTATTCACTTGTATGCATATGGATGTTATCCCTTTACTCAGAAAACTGTATTTCAATACGGATCTAGAAATGACTTTAACTATGAAAGCAACCCCATTTTTCCCTCACCTTTTCGTCTCCAGCATAGAAGATCATAGGATCGTCCAACTCAAAATGCCCCATGCCAGTCCCTCTCATCTCACCAATACCTAGTATGTAAATATTTATGCATTCCATTTCTTCCTTAACAATATCCAATTTTCCTACATTCATGGTTGTCACAGTCCATGTTCCAATCACTAGTGTCTGCTTACAGCTGTTCCTCCTTCTTTGTGTTTCTATACCTAAGGGCTCAGTTTCAGTTGCGGTATCTGCTAGTCTAAGTATGTTTTAATGTACATAGAGTTTTTGAAGGCCTGCTATTTCAGAAGTATATGGCCAATCCTTCTTCCTAGTGTGTCTTAATTTGAATGCTCACATTTAGAACATTATCTGACAGATAAACATTTTATGGAAAAGAGCACATAATAGCATATATTTCAAAACAAAAAATAAGGAAAATATTAATACTGGGTTTTTTCTAGGTGAAAGAACCAGAGATAATGAATTTTCTTTTTTACTCACAGATGAAAACACTATAGTATTCAATATGGATTATACCTCAACATAAAAAAAAATACTCTTCAGCAGCATCATGCTCAATGGGAAAAAAAATCCTCTAGGTGGTCAAGGATATTATTACTTGGATCTAGAATCAATAGCCAAGAAAGCTACAGTCAAATAAAATGATATATTACATTGGTGGTATTTGTTATCAAAGACTTCTTTAAAGGGTTAAAATAGCAAAGGTGTTGTATTCAGGACTAAGGCATCTCTGACTCAAAAGCATTTTCAATTGCCTCATAAGTATACAAGAGTGCCTCAGTAGGTAAAGAACTGAGCTGCCAAACCAAAGGCATGTGGTTTGAATCCACCAGCTACTCTGTGGGACAAAAATGGGCAATCTCTTTCCATATGACTTAGAGCCTCTGAAAATGTGCTGGAGAATCAATCAGCTTCCAACCCAGTGGCACATGTATGGATTACAACATAGTATGCAGGCATAACAACAGTAATTAATACATGCATGCTTGACAGTGAGTAGGCAACACAAAAAAGAATATACTTAAATTATGGTGCTGGCAAAGAACATGAAATATACCTTGGAATGTCAAAGGGAAAAAAATAAATCTGCTTTGGAAGTACAACCAAAACTTTCCAAGTTACTACCTCAAAGTACAAAATTGAAGTCATGACAATATAAACTTACCGACTGTTTGCTCCTCCTCCAGCCACAAATCGTTTCTGAGGATATCTGTCTTTAAGCTGTTTTAAAGTCATATGTTTTTCTGCTACAACCCAGACATCACCACCTTTTCCACCTTCCCCACCTAATCGAGGATATCCCATTCCACCAGTTCCTCCTTTGGTGAAGAGTCTTAGGTTATCAATGAAGTTTCCATACTGAAAGAGAAAACATCTCAATGTCAACTATGTTTACCACCTTAGAACTCCTTTTTATTTCCCTCCTTTGCCACTAAAACATGCATTAAAAAAAAATTCATGTTTTTAAAAACTATTTTCTTGGAATCGGGTCAGAGTTGACCATGAAGTGGGTTTTTAGCGGCAATAAATCACATGAGAGGAGACTGTTCATCTTTAAACCTCAGGGGAGCTAGTGGATTCCAACTATAAGCCTTCCGGTTAACAGTACAGCTCCTTACCACTACACAAGAGCTCTCTAAATTCCCTCTGCTTCTCTTTTACAAATGTCAGTGTTGTTTCCTGTACCCTCAGAGTATCTTACCTTGCTCCTTTTACACAAACTATACTTTTTTCTCCTGGTAATCTCTTTCTGTTCCATGGCTGAATTATCTAAGATTTTCTATAGCCAGTCTGTTGAACATCTCTACCAGGATGAAAGTTTTTTAGTATTTACAGCAAACAAAAACAGGGTCTGTATTTCATTTACAGTTGAAACACTTTTCCCCAAAGATGTAACATGTTCTTAGGTATTAGTGAAAAAAAAAAAAAGTTAACTAAAATAGAATTTTATTAGCACTCCAATAAAATAAGTTACCCAAAGTAAAATAGAGCTTTATTAGCACAGCAGACCCACGTTTTACTCCATGCAAGATTTGGCTCCCAATGTTCCCTCAAGTAACATATTATTTGTTTGAAACGTCACAAAACTAAATCTTTGACTACACCATCTTTTTCAACACCCTAATTCGTAACTCTTCTTTCCAATGCTACTTAGTTCCCTGATTATCACATTTACTCCTAATTGCTCTTCTAGTCTCTAGTCATTCCTTTCTGAATTCACTCTCCACCTTGCTGTATATTTTCCTGAAGACTGATCTGATCTCTAAATCTTTCTGACTTAAAAACTATACATATTAGTTTATGAAAGTCCAAAATTTTCAGTTAACATACTCAATGCTCTTAACCTACTTTTCCAGTTTTCACTCAACTAACTCCTTCCCAACTCTTTTCTATCTTTTATACTGCTGGATAAACTTCCCTTGATGCTTCAATGGACTCCAGATTTTAAACTGAAGTGGATTACTCTATTAAATTGAAGGGTAGCAAAGGTTCAAATAAAAATTCATTTGAATATTCAAATGTAGGGCATGATTTGAGGGGTGCCCAGGATGAAGAAATTGTGCCTTTTGATTCTGACAGACTGAATCAGAAATCAAAATTTATAACTGAATGAATTCTCCTTGTGAGCAACATTAGAAGTGGCTGTATATCATGCAAAATCTGCCTAAGTATTCATAAACAAAGCAAGAAATTCTCTCATTGTTGAAGGGTTAGTTACCTTCTATGTCCAAGTACTTTCTTTTTACAAGCCACTACAGTCTATTTTCTGGGGCATGAAGGTTGTCTAAAATATGATTTGAAGAGAGCTCTGGTGGCCTAATGAGTGAGGAGTTGCGCTGACAATTCAAATGCAAGCAGTTCCAATCCATCCGCGGCTTCGCTGGAGAAATATGGGCAATCTTCTCTCCTGCAATTTACAACTTCTGAAATCCCGTTTAGAGGGTCACCTATGAGTCTTAATTCAACGGCAAGTAACAACAGATTTTTCAGATATCACATAATCTCCCTGTGCTCCTGAATACTAACTCTCAAAACATAAAACCAGCTGGTTTTCAAAGAACTGTAACAGTTAAAGAGTTTTCTAGGGTTTTTTTTTAAATCGAAGCAGCTGTGATTTTTTTAAATAAACACAATTCTAAAACTGCTCTCACACACAAGTTGATCTAAGTTTCATCCAAGAAGGAAAACCAACTACATTATTTTTTGCTTCCTGCAGAAATGTCTTTTGAAAGATCTTTTCTAAAACGCACTAACGCAAAAATTTAGGATTAAAACACGCTAAGTGGAACTTAAAAGTGAGGCATAGTCAAACTACTAGATTATACTATTTTGGCCAAAAGGAAAAGTCCAATCATTTAAAAGCCCTACCTCTACTACATAAAACCGAAAGCCTGGACTCAAAAGTTTCTCACCCACTTGCTCAGAACTCCCCTCAAAGAACTCAAATCCGACAAACACCTCTAAGTACATTTCCCAACTAAGATTTCTAAAGAGAAGGCGGAGGGACTGGTGATAAAACCCAGCAGGAAGGAGCTCAGAATGGACGATTTTCTTAAATAGGAGGAGTGAGCCTGATCCTTCAAGTAGGGATAGAGTGCAGCAAGCCAAGGGACACACCAGGGACCGACCTTTCGGAACAACACCCGGCCACAGCGCACCATTACAACGCTGCAGCAGCGACCCTTCCGCAGGCAGCCGTAAAAGAATAGTCGCGGCACCTTTACGTCATCGCCCGGCGCCCACTTTTACCGCTTTCCTCCCCCTCCACCGCGGCGGATCAGGATTTGCGCATGCGGAGAAAGACAGCGGTGGAGCGCAAACTCACACTAATTGGAGAATAGTTCGGCAAACTGGGTAAAGTTCGGCAAGTTGTCAAGTAGCAGAGCAAGAAAGAATCGCATGCGCAAGTTTGAGTCATTTTGAATTGAATGTCTCTAGATACCAAGATCAGTTAGAGCAGTTTTTATACTAATTAAGGTAGCGATAAGATTTTATTCTTTACTCTTGTTGAAACAACCTTGGGTGTGTTGTTCATGGTATCGAGCCCAATAGGACTCCTAGCGACGCTATGAACAGCAGATCTGAACCCTCTCTCTTTTGTTTTTGTCTATCCAAGTTTTTTAATTTATTGTGATTTTAACAAAAGCTTACAGAAAAGTTGGATTTTCATTTATTCTTTGTTGCATAATTTCCTCCTTTACTCTCACCCCTCCCCAGTTCACTTTGCTATACATCTCTTTTTTTTTAACAAAGAACATTTTTTAATAATTTTAATGACCATTTCCAGAGATTTTGGATTTCCATTCATTGCTGCACTTCTCTCCCCGCCCAGCTCTCCCCCCCCCCCCCCCAGTTCGCTCCTTTCTTTTAAAAGTAAAACACTCCCTCCCTGGTACACAATCCCCCCCGCACCCCTCCCACGGCCCCAAGTACATTCCACTATGCAATCTTACTTGTGGGCTCTTGTGCTGAACCCTCTCTTATCCTGTGCCACCTCACAATCTCTGATACACTCAAACCCTTTGCTGCCATCACTGTGTGAGTCCACCCTATTGAGGGTCTTCCTCTGCTTTGTGGTCCCTCCACCTTTCCAAGCATGATGTCCCTCTCCAAGGAACAGCCTCTCCTAGCAACATGCCCAAAATGTATGAGAGGAAGCTTCATCATCCTTGCCTCAAAGGAACACTGTGGCTGAACTTTCTCCAAGATTTATTTGTTCTTTTTCAACACTACAATTCAAAGGCGTCAATTCTTCCATCACCTTTATTCATTGTCCAGCTGTCAGATGCATAGCAAGTGACAAAATACCATGGCTTGAATCAGGTACACACTAGTCCTCGAGGTAACTTCATTGCTCTTGAATAATTTGGAGAGGTCCCTGACTACACTTTCCATTGCAATATGTTTCCTAACGTCCTGACTGTATGGACCCGATGTACTGATTGTGGGTCCAAGTAAGATTAAGTGATTGACAGTCTCAGTATTTTCTCCATCTATAACCGAGTCAGTGAGACTGGCTCCGAACAGGATAGGCTTCAGAGCTGTTGTCCACAGGATCGCTTTGGGTTGCAGGTAACTCGGTGACACATATTGACAGCTATAGTGATGTTGCCTATCTATCCGGTGGTAAAGAGTTCTGTTTTCTTGACGTTGAGATGCAGTCCAAATTGAAGGCTGCAGTCTTTGATCGCCGCAAGTACTTTAAGCCCTTCTTACTTTCAGAAGTGAAGGTTGGATCATCCACATAATGAAGGTGACTGATTAGTCTTCCTCCAATGCTGGTGCCACTTTCTTCTTCCTGGAGTCCAGCTTCTTGAATAATTTGCTCAGCATACAGAAAAATAGGTATGGAGAAAGGATACAATCCTGATGCACACCTTTCCTAATTGTAATCCATGCAATATTTCCTTGCTCTCGTCTCACAATAATATCTTGGTTTACGGATAGGTTTTGCATGAGCATGGTTAAGTAAAGCAAAGTGGAGGGGGAGAAACCCCAAAACAATCCTTGTAAGAACCTAGTAAAGCTTAATCCATTTATGTGGGGAAAAAAGAGCTGGCAAAAACTATTAGTTCCCTAGTGAACAATGCTTTCCAGCAAAAATATCCAAGAGGCAATGAATGAAAAATATTTTTATTAATAAAATAGTAACATTTTTAATACAAATGTCTTACTGGAAATGTCAGCATATGTGGGGAAGGAAACTTTTTTGTGTGTGAAACTAGCATCTTGGAGTTAGGTTTATCCACCTCATTTGATGTGCATTGTTGTGACAATGATCGTGAAATTAGCTCTGGTCCCCTAGTGGGTAAGGAGTTGTGCTATCAACTCAAAGGCAGGTGGGTGGAATTCACTAGATGCTCCTCAGGAGAAAGATGGGCAGTCTCCTCTGGTGTGATTTATAACCTCTGGAAACTATCTGGAGAGTCAGCTGAGTCAAATCTGACAGGAGAACAATGAGTTGTTGAACTCCAGCAGAAAGAGCAGAGAATAGCTGGATCTCAGACACTGCTCAGCATCTTTCACCATGCCTTTAATATTTAACACTTCCCAGCAAAAGACCTTGATTCCCTAACCAACATGTCCCTTGCTTGTAAGAGAGGCAGGACCCCCAAGTTAATGCTCTAAAATCAACAAAGCAGACTGCCCAGGAGTTCATTCAGTGTTAGCTAGCCCCTCGCTTTCCCAGACACTGTCAACTACCAGGTTACTGTGAACTGCTACAGAAGGTGCCTGAAGTGGAGCCTGCTCCAGGTTTCAGCACTCTGCCAGGCCAGCCTTCTGGTACATTTTAAAGCTCAGATCTCCGTAACCCCCAGGTCAGATCTACTTGGGGATCATTTCTGGTCTGTCTGGATCCCCTCTTCTGTTCTATGCTGAAGCCTCCTGACTGAGACAGCTGTGCCCACACCTCAAGTGAAGGCTATACCCACAACTAACATACTATGAGATGAAGAGGTTCCAGTAGCAACAAAACAGGTTTTTATGAGGGTCTGTTTGGTGCATGTGATTCCTCTACCACCTGGTTGTGGTCAGCTGGCAGTATACTGTGAAATGCTACAGAAGCACCCTGAAATAGATTCTGCTCCCCTATACTTGCCTCCTTGTGCACTGACCTCTGGCCAACAGAACAGACCTCCCTAGATCAGTTTGTGTTTCCCACATCCGTTCACCCTTTCCCCACCTTATTGACACAAAGGACTGCTGACCAAGATTGCTGTGTGCTGGGAAGCAAGTGTCTTGAATGCAGAATACATTCAGAGCCAACATACTACTCAGTGAAAGAAGAGGCTATAGTAGCAACAAAGCAGATCTCCATCAAATGTGACACCCACCTGGTGATTGTTGGTTGCCAGGCTGCTGTGAATCCTGGAGCGGGGTCTTGTCTCATAGTTAGCAATCAGTCTGCCTCATGATGATAGCTCAGACTTCTGGAATCAGATAGGACAGACCTCCTTGATGATCAAGATATCCTTGAGAGTCTATCTGCTTCCCTTAGTGACAGCTTCCTAAACTATGATGGAACAATTTTTTGTTTGTTAGAGCCATCTACTTGTGGCCTTTTAAACTTTCTCCTTTTAGTATGATTTGAGTGAAAATTTACAAAGCAAATTGATTTTCCATCCCACCATCCATATACATTATGTTGATTGTCGTCAAGTCAAGCATGACTCATAGCGGCCCTATGAACAAAAGGCCTGAAGCCTTTCTATAACTATAATTATTTCTCAAAGTTCATAGAGTTTCCAGAGGCATGTTTTTTAGGAAGTGGATGCCACTCCTGCATTGACATTAAATACAATACCCACAAGTAGCCACACTCTTCCACTGGCTCTCGGTGATTCTTGTTTTCAATGTTTCCTCTATCCTAACCTTCCTGCCTTCTGAGCTTTATTCTTAGGCAGGTGTTACCCTTTTGACTGTATAAGAGTGGTGGATTATCCTAAGGAGTGAGGGCCTCCTTGGTTTTATGAAACTGGTTTGTTTTGTAGGCTTGTCCCTCGTGAGATAGGTTGACACAGTGACGACAATATTGGGCTAAGCATAGCAAGCGGAGATTCTGAGAACGGTGCGGGACTGGAGAAGGTTGTTCTACATGGGGTTGCTCTGAGTTGAAGTTAACTCAACAGCAATAGCAATTGTTTGGCTAAAAGTTGATCCATAGGGATGACTTTTGTTCCACATTTTCTCCCACTCAGGTCCTTCTCCTGTGATCCCTTTCAGAGTGGTCAAGAGTGATGGCTGGGCACCATCTAGATCTTGTCTCTGGTTCATGGAAGTTGAGGTTCATGTGGTCCCAAAGCCCTAGGACTCATTCTGTCCTGGTGTTTGGATATGATTAAGAAGTTTGCACAGCTTTATCTCCTGTTGGTCCCACTATATGTGTGAGTGTACTTATCAAATATACCATTATGACTATACAAACATCATCTTCTAAATCTACGTGTGGTCATAGGTACAATCCTTTTTTCCTGTTCATATTTTTTCCCTGATATCTGCCTACATACGTGTTGTACATGAACATTTATTATTGTTTATATTGCAGTATTATGTATGTAAACTTGTTTACCTTTGTTGATTGTCCCAAAGACATGTAGTGTAAATCTATCAGCTGCTTTTCAGGATAAATATATACTCCCCTGCAATTTACAGCCTCTGAAAACCCACTGGAGGTTCTGCTGTGCATGGATTTCCATTGGACCATAAAGAGATAGTACTTATTTACTGATCATTACTTCTGTCTCCTTCCCTTTTTCATCTCTGGTAATCATCCAAGAATGCTCATTTCTTTGAAATTCTTTATCCATTGAATGAATGCAAACACAAACATATTTTTAAATTTAAACAGTGAAAGAGCTAAAAGCATATATTGCCAGTGGATGCACACTGCCAGAAACACTAAAGATGAATAGCCTCCTCCTTTGTAATGACACCAGGAAAATGAAATGGTAGCCAGATACCATCCCTGAAGGTTTTTATAAAAATTTCTATAGATTGATCCTGATCAAAGGGAGGATCATGCGAAGCAAAATTTCAAATTCTCATCAACTCCAGACTTTCTGGAACAACAGAATCTGAATGAATCCCCAGAAATAAATATTCTAATGTAGTATTTAGAGCTTAATAAGGTCTTAAAAATATCTATTTTTAAGACTGCTCT